TCGTCATGTTCAATTTTTTGGTCAACTATGCCTGTTGAAAATTTGATGGCGGGGAACACATAAGACTTCAAAGGCATCGTGCAAACGTTCTTTACGCGCTGCGGCAACTTTGATCTTGGTTCATTTGCATAGCGCTGCGTGCGCGTAGCTTTGCCGAGTGATCTCTTCCTCAATAATACCTCCATGATCAAACATTCAAAAGAATGACCAAACAAACTCACAAATTGTTTAAAATATTTTTTAAAAAAAGAATTCTGACTGACAGTCTCAAATAAGTCAATAAATTTAACCTAAGTATAATACTTTTCCGCTAGTGTACGATGCATGCTCTACTAATTACTTTATAAGTCAATCACCGTCTTTTAATGTTAGTTTTGATAACCAACTGTTGTAGCAGTCATCGGTTGCTCTAGTGATATGATCAGTATATTATGTGCGTATTTACATTTAGCTGTGCATGTGCTGAGGACTCGGCGGCCTCCCTGCCTACCTGGCCATGGACCTACACCTAATATCATTCCTTAAATCTTTATTAAAATAGGTCTAGAATATTCCTGTTAAATGTTCAGTTTCTTTAGTTTATGAGGGTCCATTGATTCAATGAATTCCTTAATTGTTCATACTTAATATTGAATTTGAAGTAACTTTCTTCGGGTTATAATTAACCTTGTTTTATAAAAGTCTTCAATTACAATTCAACTTTCATCGCGGTGCACGATATCTTTGCAGTGATGCAAAAATTGGGTATTTTATTTGCACACGAACCTACTGTAAACAAATCAAGTCAAGCATCCACTATGTGAGAAATTATTGGACTGTGGGGGATAGGCAGATAACATTGGGAGTTGCAGTGATGACGTAACGATTGACTTATAATGTAAATTTTTGTCAATTTACTGTATACTGTATAATTTGAAAAGTGTATTTGGTTATTGACATTTTTGTGACTGTGCTTGTGGTATGGAAAGCTTATCATCATCTTTAATCATCTCCAATCTTCGTTTCACTTGCAGGTACTCTCAGCGTGGAAGCCATCTTCCAAGATCGAGACCAGTTTGCCCAGTTGGTACGTGAAGTGGCCGCGCCAGATGTCGGCCGTATGGGAATCGAGATCTTGAGTTTCACCATCAAAGATGTTTTTGACCGCGTCGACTACTTGGATTCCCTCGGAAAAGCGCAGACCGCTGTTGTCAAAAGAGATGCAGATATCGGTGTGGCTGAAGCTCACAGAGATGCCGGTATTAGAGTAAGTTTCAAACAATGTTTTTCATTTTTACCATCATTTTATTCTTCGTGTTTGTTTCTTCATCATGTGTTGATCTATATCATCATTTGTTTTTTTTTAAGGCAATGGCTACGGTTATCCAGTCTTGAACCAATTCCTAATCACATTGTCTTTAGTTGTTTTCTAAAATGCCTACTGTATTAGTCTCATTGATTGCCTTCAGTTGATTTTTTTATACTTTGCATTATTTTTGTATCATATTTTTCTATTAATTTTAAAGAAATATAAATAAAACAAATATATAGTAAGTGAAATTAATGCAAAGGTTAAATGTAAAGTTTAAATATACAATAGACATGTTTTGATCTGACCTCATCGTATCACTATCAGTATGATGTTCTGATCTGCTTTTAACAAATGTGTGTATTATTAATATACTGTAGTAACATTATGTTTTGGCAAGTTGCCATATTTTGGCCATTTCAAATCATGTATTACATCCTGGAGTGATATTGCATTGATATAATTGCTTGTTCAAAGATATTTTCCCAAGCTGTATAGAGGACTACCTTAAAGTCATACTTTGTATTTTCTGACTAACTTTACAAAAAAGAGTTGATATACTCATCTTATAAACCAGTCGGTTATTGGCATAAATTTTGACTTTATGCTGTTGTGCAGTTTTTGATTGAATATCTAAGTTATCCCATAATTAAATAAGCATTATTAATCTGGTTTACTGTAACTGTTTACCAGATTTCTTACTTCCTAAGAATAGATTTCGATCAACAGCCTGATTGTGTGCCCTCTCATAAATTAGTTTGTACCTAACCAGTAGTGCCTACTATATATTTGTCACAGATAGACCTATTGCGAAATTGGAGGAAAATTCTTGTGTGTTTATTTGTTGCCGTCCCTACACTTATTCATGTTTACTGTATTAATGTTCATATTGCGATATTGGCATAGCTACTCTATCAAGCTTTACTTTGTTAATTTTGCAGGAAGCAGAATGCGAGAAAGCGATGTTGGACGAGAAATATGATGCCGACACAAAGATTGCCGACTCTAACCGACAGTTTCAAATGTTGAAGGCAGGTTACGAAAGGGAAGTAAATTCTAAGGTAGGTTTATGTCCTTTTTGACCAGTTATTTGAAAAAAAAGAAAAAGCATGACATGGTAAATTATGCCCATGATATTTGGTTTATCTTACATTTAAGGTATGCTATTTATGATAAAAAATCTTGGAAACAATTATAACATACAGTTTAAAAGGATAAATTAAAGTATCCACTTCCACTGAAGACAAATGGTTTAAAAAGATTTTAATTACTTTAATAAAGACTTTTACTACAAAAATATTAAATTCTGTGCCAGCTACTTTAAGGCAAAAACAAAAATATTGGAAAAATATTATGCCTCTATTATTGTTAGCAATGAAAATTTATTGTTTTTCTTTCTAATTAATCTTCAAGCAAATGCTAATAACTAAATACTAAAGTATGCAAAATAATTAATTCAAATATTGAATTTTTAACACAGTATCAATGACAGGTAAAGTCAAATGATTGATGTTTATCAGTTCACTTTATTAAACAGGAGAAAATTATAATTTGTTGGCCAAAGGTCATAATCTTATAGCATTATATATTTGCAAGCTTATGTTGTGAGAAAATGCATAATGTTTATTCTGGTGATGTGTTTAAGACAAAAAAAAACCCCCAGTAAAAACCACTTTTAATATTGGTTGTGAAAACCATTTTCTGAGTTGACAAGAAGCTCAATTCTAGAGTGGCAGTCTTTTTTGCGGTTTTGGCACAAGTGAGGCGATGGCAGTTGCGCTTTCTGTGTTCTCTGTCATATTTTCTCGTAGTTTCTCTTTACTTTCCTTTCTGCATTCATAATACATCTTGTTCGCCATAGTCTTCCGATTTAATTACACCTTCTCCCACTCAGCTTTATCATATCACGTTTACATACATATTTGAATCTGATGTCTGGTCGTCTAATTGCTTTTCTACTCAATTATAATAACATCATTATAACAGTGCATATTGAGTACACTGTACACTAGAGTGACATAACGGTGCTCAAATATTGATAAACGTTATCGTTAAGGAATTGCACTGGGATTGATTTGGCTCGATAAATATTTTATTGACCTCATTTGAATTGGAACCCAAGAAACAGATAACTGAATTCATGAATTTTCCATCTGCCAGAATGCTGAGGCCCAGTTGGCGTATGAACTACAAGCAGCAAAAGAAAAGCAGAAGATTCGTAGTGAGGAGATTGAAATTGAGGTCGTAGAACGGCGAAAGCTGATCGACATTGAATCGCGTGAGATCCAGAGGAAAGAGAAGGAATTGATTGCGACAATCAAGCGACCAGCTGAAGCGGAATCATACAGAGTAGAAACGATAGCTGATGGTATGAGGTAAGCCATGAGCGATCGGTAATACTGTAAAACCCATATTGAAGTTTAACAAATTTTAAAAAGGTTTAAAATATATCAAATGATTCCATATAAACTGCAATGCTACACATATATTAACAATTATTATTATTCTTCAGAACTCATACCGTGTTGGCAGCAAGAGCTGATGCAGAGAAGATCAAGATGTTGGGGGCAGCAGAGGCATCAGCGATTGAAGCTACAGGTAAAGCAGAGGCTGAACGCATGAGAATGAAGGCTGCTGCCTACAAGCAATATGGAGACGCTGCTATGATGAGCCTAGTACTCGACTCCCTACCCAAGGTACAACAAAAAATGAAAAAACTTCTTTATATTCCGTCTCATCCAACAGTACAATGACAGAATGAATAAATATATTAAAAATTACACCAATAGTACATAAGTACAATAAAAAGATATCTGATCAGTTATTTACAGTTCATTCAAGAATTGATTCAAATTTAAGTTGAAGTTTTAAATTCCAGGTTCTGATAGAAAGGTGTATTTTCTGTGGCATAAAAAAAGTGTATAATAATGTTTAAAGTACTACATAGTTTTTACTGGTTTAATTCTAGTCCTACATTTTGTTTAATTCCAGTCTTATTCTATGTACCAAACACGATTTCTGTAGTCTTTATAAAAGCATTTATAACTTATCAAATGAATGTCATACATAAACCATCACATGTTTATAGTTTCAACCGATTATTAATTACGCTTTTGTTGCTTTTACCAGATTGCTGCTGAGGTTGCTGCCCCATTGGCCAAGACTGATGAAATTGTGTTGCTGGGAGATGATCGCACAACAACTGAAGTGACCAAGTTGCTCAGTCAATTACCCCCGGCTGTCAAGGCATTGACAGGAAGTGATATCAGCAAAGTAAGTGCTTCATGTTTGATATTATTAATACAAAAATCCTATGTGAGAGTCTGGCGTGTTCATTTCAGTCACGCATTCATTGTCTGTATTGTATTTTGGAGTACTTCACACCCGATTACAAGACGATGTGTTCTTGTGATAATTGTGTATACAATTCATTGTAATGGCAGAACGTTAATATGTAAATTATGCTTAGCGCTACTGACAGCCAATCATAGGATGGAAATCACAGCATGTTTACATTTTAGAATCAAATGATATTGTCATGTGTTCATATTGACTTCATGTATAGAAAATATTTGTATAATATGCGTATATTGCTTAATACTACCTTACAGTTAATCATAGGATAGCTAATTCAGGATGTTGACATATTTCAAATCAAATCGGATTAAAGTGGTAGTCCTGTGTGTTCATATCATTTTTGGTCGTTGAGCATTATGTAAATGATGTTATGCACTACCTCGCAGCCAACCACTGATTGATATCGCCAGAAATTTAAATTTGAATAGTCTGTGAATTATGAATTAATACGGAGCCCAACTACAGTACAACTTTTTACTGTAATTTTTTCAATTGAGGCCTCACCATCCCAAAACCAGTAATACTGTCACTATGTTAAACTGCGTACTTAGTATAAGAATGTGCCAGTATTGTATAATTCAGTACAGAGAAGCTGTAAAACTTTTACTCATAACTTTGGAAACAGTAAATCGATTCCCGTAAATAAACCTATCATTTTAAAGCTTATGATGTGAAAAATATAAATATAGTAAAAAGTAAATTTTCGAACATTTTGGTCACTGACGGTGGTTTGGAATGGCAAGCCTCAATTAGTTATATATGTATCAATATTTTAATAATTTTTGGAAAGTAGACACTGACTTATATTAATTCACTATACTGATACTAAGTTATTTTTTTTTACATTGCTATTCCACAGTTGCTGCAAAAGATTCCAGGAGCCCACTAATCATAGCAGCTACTCTCAACCATAGGGAGTAAAAACACCAGTCAGTGAGTGACAAGCAATCATGTAGTCATGTCTTGTAGAAAACCTGTATGTTAATCTTGTTTATCCATTATAGAATACATTTCAGCAGCATTAGTAAACATATCGGTATGTATATTTCATATTTTTATATCTACAGGGTTTATCACCTTGGAGTTGAACAACGTATGAGTGGGTGGGTAGGGTTTAGCGATGATTGTTAACAGGCAGTCATGTGTCCTAACTTGGGTATACATGAAAAACATTATAGTGCAATTGCGTAGGAAAAGATAATGTTATGGTTGCAAAAACAACCACCCACTGTTATCGTTAGAAGTAAATGGCTAGGAAAGGCAATACGATTGTTCAAAATAGTGACTATTTACTTACCTTAGCGTTCTCCTTGGATTGTATGCTTTGAAATTTAAGTGATCCTTCATAAACCTTAGCTGGCCGTAACATCGCAGCGTAGTTTGTGGGTCGAAAACCATCATGCATACCTAACCATGCCGTAGATGTGCAGGGGCCTAGACCTAACATTTGTCGAAAAATTTGAATCTTTGTGGCCAGCATTAGCAAAATATTAAGGCAAAATTCTTCAGTTTAATTTCCAATCAATGTGCTATAGTTTACTGGGAATTATGATGATCTCTACAGCAGTAAACAAGGGATAGCCGTGATAGAAATCTTCATGTAAAGCACCGCTGTGTCAGTGGATTGTTTTTATCAAACACCCAAGTTAGGTCATATGACGCCCATCGCTAAATCCCTAATGTTAATGGTGTTAGATCCATTATCCTGTTAAAGTTAACTATACTGATGCACTATGTAATGTTGCATTTACTGTATATGGATCTGCTATCCTGTTAACAGGATCCGCACTGATACAGCATAACACAGTTCAATTACTCTAATGGTATACATTCTATTCCTTAATTTTCCTCTATAAATTATATAATCTAATCCTTAGTTTTACATACATATTAGTGTTCTCTAAGTTGAAACATTTTTACCATTAAATTTGTCCATAAAAATTCAGCTATGCATACAGTGTAAAGGTGTTAACACTTTTTTGAATGGGGTTTAATGACTTGTTGAAAAAACAACACCACATACAGTCGTAGACTAGGCATAGACTGAAATATTGTTTATTTATTGTAAGAAGGTCAGCCTAGACTACCTAGGAGTAATCAGTGGTTTTTTTTAAATATATTTTACAATACACAAAATGTTTATCAGTTGGCCGGTTATTTTTACTGGTAAAATTGATGGCTAAAATGGCTTCAGGAGAACACTGCATATTCAATCCTATGATTACACAAAGTTGTAGGTATTAGGAAGTGAAATACCTCCACCCTCTTCCCAGCCTTTGAACAGTCATAACCTTTTGCATGGCTCTCTATATTACTATATATTGTTTCATCTCAGGAACATACCAAATCTGAAGCAGTTGTAATAGCACTCAGCATTTTCTACTTTAGTACATTAATGTAATATGCAAATTTTGGTATTCAAGTTCCCCTGGTAAAAAGTCACAATATTGCATAATTCTTTCTAAAAGTTGCCTTTCTATTTTAGGTGGAGCAGGTTTAAGAATTTTGTTTAATATGTAATTAAGAATCCATTTAGTCTGTCATTTTAATATATAGAATTTTCAGTAGAGTGACCACCCCTTTTAGATAAATGGAACAACCCTCATCTTGAGTAAATGTTAGATCAATATTGTATATTTGTTGCCAGTATTTGATTGGTAAAAGACTTGATTAGCATTTCATGTAATGAATTATGTTATTGATTAATTCAGTGACTGGTGTATACTAGAACCTATAAATATGCATAATTACATGAGTTAGTATTTATATTTGGTTTGTTCGAAAAATAACAAATAATTGTAATATGTAGCACTTTATCTATTTGAGACAATTTTTTTAAACTAAATTCATCTGTTTTGAGATATTTAATAATAGAATTTAGCATATTGTTATCTCAGTTATAAAGTGGCGTAACTTCTATGAGCCCTCACTGACAGAAGCCTCTGTCCCTGGAACGAAGCTTCCTGAATGTTAATCAGCATGTTTTTGCCAAGACCATGGGCCCCAATTCAGCTAAGCTAAGTTGTATTGAATTTATCATTGTTGTCATAATCATTGTAAGCTTTTTTCTTAGTCTGGAGCCTCACTTTTTATTCTTTGATTTAGTGATTTTGAAGATGACTTCAAAATTCCTAGTTTTCAATTGATGTGATTGGTAATTATCTAGTTATAAATATGAGGTAATGGGATAATTATAATTTTACTCTATATTGTAAAATGATAATACTGTACCCAGTGTAGGCCTCATGTCTTGTTATACTGTATAATCAATGTCTATAATATAGTATCAATAGATTAACTAGTCAAAATTCTTTGCATTTAATTCTTTGTGTTTTAGCTTTGATTCATTTAAGTATAATAATTTAATATACAGTAATTCAATGAGTTTTGATAATAGTGATTGGATGTGTTCTTAGAAAACATTTTTTTTTTTTTTTTTAAATTGCAAAACTAAAAGATGTTATGAAAGTGAGGAGCATCATTATCATCAACTTCAGTGTGCTAATGTATGCATTCCAGGACTATGACATCCTTTTGTCTGTTTTCCACACTAATTTTTGGCACAGCAAACTAAACTGGATGTGTGCAGAGGAAGTCAAAAATTTATTACAAATTTAATCAAGTCAAATTATAAACAGAATCATTCTGGTCTCCGAACAACTTGAAACAACATTGTACAGCTTGATCTTTTCACAAGGGTCGGTACAGTAGTTGTAAGCAAATCTCCAAAAATAATTTACTGGTTTTAAAACTATATGAATTTGGAAACGAATATGACAAATTGTATTGTAAACAGTGTTAAACCGCCCACCAATTTCATTAATTTAGTTGACATCCCCCTCCTTAAAACAAAAGGATATTTATGAATGATAATATCATTAATGGACACTGCTACGGTATGTCATACCTTGTGGAAAATACTCATAAGAAGTGAATCGGTGTATAAAAACATTTTAGTTTTGATTTGACAGTGGTTTAATACAGTTGGTGTTTATGAACCAAAGAGATCATTATTGTGTTTGAACACTTTTAGAAACAAAACTTTTCATGTGGTATGCAATGCTTGGATTTTTATATTCCAATTTTAATGTTGTTTATTGCTGGGATGTATGGTTATTCTTATTTTTTATTGTTTTAAAAGTTAATATTACTCTATAACTAATGAATTGTAATAATATCCATGGTTTTGCAACAATTTTGAAACATCCAATTCAGTGACTATAAAATATATAATGTGACAATATATAAAACGTGACAGTATTGTTTTCAAGTAAATGAGGTTATTTTGCGATTGAACAAAATTATTTACAATGCAATTAATTATACTTTTATTTGTTGAAAATATAGATTAATGCATATAAAAACATTGCAGTTTTGTGCAAAAAAAAAGAACAATTTGATAATTAATATGAAGTACAAAATTGAAAGTGGAAAGGGGTATATGTGTTTTATCATGTCATATTCTTTATATAAGATTTTTTTAAAGGCATTAATATGATGTATAAGTTAACATTATAATATGAAATAAACAAACAATAATGATGGATCTTTAGTTATACATATGAAATTTTATTTTTGACTACACCAAATGGACAATTTCTTTTGCTGCATAATTTCTTAAAAGCTTTACAACACTGTAACTATGGATGAGGTATACAAGTTGTGTTTTATTATAAGCAGTTTTTTGTCAATGTACCCTACAACATTTTGAAAAGCAAACATTGATTAAGTCCATCTTCGATAATTTCAATTTTTTTTTTATTGACATCCAAAAGGATAGATAAACAATGTACTGAAACTAAGGCCTTTACAGAGAAGCTGTTTATTTAATTAAACAAAATATCCTAGTTGAAAATATTACTGAATTGATAAAGCGGTGAGAGGATTTGGAAAAAAGATTTCATTTTGAATATTAGGTAGTATTTTGCAAGTAATTGTGCATTTTAATCATATTGAGAATTGTATATACTTCCAGTTTTATTTGTATCTTTGGCATAATAAAAGCCATCTTCTTGTACAGAGTTCCAGAAACATTTTTCTGTTATTCATTTTGTCTTTGGATTTACAATCATGTTTATAAAAATCACTACATATTCATTCCCAAAACCAAAACTAATAATTTTAAAATGTAGAATGTATTGATATTTCAGATATTGTGTGAATTATGGAAGCATTTTATTCAATCAATTTCAATGACAATTCAATGTGTATCCCTAAATGAACCATTTCAAGTTATTATCTGCATTAACATTATTAAGGATTTATTTTGATATTAGTATTGATTTTCTAATAATGTGCATTAGTTATATTATTGTATTATTTTTTATATAATGGCACTATGGTGCCTTTGTGTTTATTTTGTCCTGGAATGCACTGACCTTAATCTTCTTCCAAGGGCTAAATTAATACAATGTATAGGTTCCTATTAAATTTGACTATCCACTAATGTGATAAGTTGGATGATAACTGATCAAGAGTTATCTAACTTTGCTATGATATTAGTAGCACGCTTGTTACAAACAACTCCTGATATAGTAGTCTATCAATATCATACCCATTGTCTGTAATATATTAATTTTTATGCAGCCAAAAAACTTATCCACCCACCCATCCGTCAGGTGAATAACTGATTTCTATTTACTGATAATGATTCTTAAGTAGAGGTATTCTTCTTTGATGTTTAATTGGATTATTGAGATAAGATTCTGGCAAAAACTGGTTCACCAACACAACTGAATGCCCTTTTAAAGGGTTTTCTGGTAAATGGGATAGTAACAGCATGGTGTGCTCTTATGACATCAGGGGTCCCAACCCAAGTTGAAACAATAATAATAATAATAATAGTAATAATAGTATAGTTTTATATAGCGCACATATCCATCTATGTGGACTAGGAACTCGACCAATGACTTTCTTCGCCCCCAAGGGTCCCTTCGTGTCTGTGCTACCCGGTAACCCAGTACCAGCAACTCTCGTCGTCCACCACAGGGGCTGTCTGTTCCAGTACACCGGGGTAACCCCCTACTCGTCTCGAAGGATGTACTGGGTTCTTATACACATCTAGATGAGTATAAGAGACAGTGTATACACTGGGCCTACGGTTTATAGTCCTTATCCGAGAAGACTTGTTCTACCACCAGAACCATAGGCGAGCGTGCCGTTCGAACCAGCGCCGATATTATGGCTATAGCTTGCGGCGTCCCTGCTAACCGCCAGGCCATTCAACAAGTCAATTCCGGGAGCAGTTGTGGCGCCAATGGCCCGGAAATATACTTTGAATATGATTTTCTTTTTCTCCACATTTTTTTTATTTAAAAAAAAAATTGGTGGGGGGGGGGGGGGCTTCCCTGATTCTGCCACTGATCTGGTTACTGAGCTTTCATAACATTTTAATTTATTTTGCTGCTCATTGTGATACACATTGGCACTGACTTCCGTGAGACAATTAATAATAAAGCAGTGAAAACATGCAAATAGCGGGAGATGACTTAATTTCTTGGAGAGTCTTACTTGCGTGCGGGATGTCTTCCCGATTTCAAGGAGACTCGCGCATGTTTTCCGGGAGACTTGGGACCCCTGGCATCATCATCATTATTTAATGGTGAGGGTGATGTGACACTTGTATAGCCCATAATACAAAAAATAGCTTATGTGCTTTACATCACAAAAAAAATATATAAATAAATGGCACAACAAAATGCAGAATATCAGAGGGATGACAGCCACCAGCCTAGTGCACTCACTACTACCATAGAGAAAATAGAACAGATGGGATACACATTTGCCCTGCTACAGACAGCAGGGTGCTTTAAAGGATGGCCATATGTTTATGCTGAGAAAAGAGTTTTTAAATATTTTTAGATGGTTAATATTAATAACTTAATACCCTGAAATCTTGAATAGAAGCCCAGGGCTTCTGTTTTTTTGTTTTTTTTGTTTTTTGTTTTTATTTGCCTCTTTTTGAAATGGGCTTCTTTTCGACACTACTTTTGTAATGTAAAGAGGTGGGGGGGGGGGCTTTTTTTCAAAATGAATGCTGTAAATTTTTGGAAATCATTATTATAAAACAATAAATAGGGCCACTGTTACATGTCTGTATTATGGAGTGTATTACTAGCACCAAGCATGTTTTTAAAGTTATTTTGATTGAAATTCATGTACAGAGTCTGCACTATACTATCTCGAAAATAAGACCATGATGGGCTTATTTTTTAGGCTACATTTGCAAATTAAAGAGGGGGCTTCAATTCAAGATGAGCTTCTCAAGATTAAGCCCATTGAGCTTCTATTCGAGGTTTTACGGTGCTCAGGAAGACTGAATGTGCAGTTTTCAGTATTTTTTTACTATAAAACTTGCAAAAAAACAATGCATAAACATTCTTGGTATCAAGAAAACATTTCCGTTTTTTACAGTACTTTTTAAGTTGAGTGCTTTCACATCAGAACACACCTAGACAAAAAGAAAGGGGTTTTTTTTAAATTTTTAATTGGGACTTCTGAAATATGGAAAATTTTGACGGGCCTTTCTAAAACACTTGATCCATCTGGGACGTTCTGGTATACATTAATATACCTTGAACAATGTGAAAAGGTTTTGTTTGTTTATTGGTTTTAAAGGTAGGAGAAAAGCCCATAACTCACAGCTTCTTTGTGGTGGATTATGTATGGGCATGATTCTGTGACTACTAGCAGTGGTAGATCCAGAAATTTAAAATAGAGGGGGCCCAGAGAGGGACTTTCACAGATGGAGGGTCTATAATACTTCCTCAGCCCCACCATGGTTGGGGGTGAGGTAAGAAAATTTATGTTTATGGCACCTCTAGATGGCTGGAAATGCCACTCTTAAGACTCAAATTTTGAGAAGAATTTTCTTTTTTTCCCAATTTTTTTTTAAATTTTAACAATTTGGGGGTGGGGGAGCAGACCAGCTTTCCCCCACCCCTTGAATCTGCCACTGACTATTTGCTGTAAAGAGGAGATTCATGTTATAAAATCATTCCACAAAAAGGGTATAAAATGTGTTTCATATTGAGGCTGTTTGTTGCAGAAGATATGGTGCATCAATTATTTGCAAGATAACAGGAAATCTCATCAGGAAGCTGCACCAGGATTTAAGATTAGGCCTAAGACCAAAGCGTCTGCTACTTGGCAGGCCCAATAGTTTTTATAAACTCTTGCAGTGCAATTCCCATTCAATGGAAGGAGCCACCAAAAAGGAAGGAAATGTGTTATCACCTATTTATAGCAGATCATAATAAGTTGCAGAGAGCCCAATCTTGTTACTATCACACAGAGTCTCTACTATGTGACAAAGAGAACTGCACATGCCTATTTCCTCCCCCACAAACATGGACACACACCCGCCATGCACATACACGTAAACCATGCAATTGACAAGTAGATTTATATGTAGGTTACCTATATTTTTGTCACTATCATGCAAATGACAGACAATAAATATATATTATTTATTATAACAGGCTGTGAAATTATTTAGTGTTTCAGCCCTGGGTATTTCATTGCTTGTACAAATACAAAATATGTATATATTGTCGCCGCTTCAGATTTATCGTACTACTTTATATATTATTATTAATACTGTATATTAAATATTATAATTCCATGCAGTCCTCAAGAAATGTAAATGATCATCTACATCTTAAGCAAAGCATGACACCCAAATAAATATATCAATCTTATATAGCTCATTATTATCCACGTAGGACTGCACAAAATGAACTTCCAGTTATTAGTGTACTTTAAGTATTTGGACAAACCAGTGGCCATCTAAGGTGGGTGGGAGGTGGAGGGGCTTAAGCCGTCGAACAGGCTACGCTCCCATCAACCATGACTCATAAGACCAAAACTTCTTACATTTTAAGATGTCCCAGAACAGCTTAAGAAGGCCTAAAATCTGGAATAGCCTGCCTGTTCACATGATTGAATCTGTAACATTAAACCAATTTGAAATGTTGGTTGGAAGCATACTACTGGCATCTTCACCATTTGAACTGAGAGCTGGAAGATTTACTCAGAGGGGCACACACGCCTTTGCTTAAAAATCTCGAAATAAAGGAGATCAAGGTAGGTAGAAATAGTACCATTAATTTTCATCCCAAGGACTTTGTCCCTGGACCCCAGTGGCCTCTGTCTCCCCCTCCTCTTCTCCGACACCTTCGCTCTCTCTGAATGTAGAGCCACCACTGTTTATATTACGTCCCAGAACACTTACAGGCATCTAATATTTAGTATCTCCATCAATGATTCTCATTCAACAAGGAAAACCCATTAAAATCATTTTGTTTTCTTTTTACTTTTTATTTGCATAACAAATCTGCTACATCATATTCAAGGTGGTGCATTTTCACAGCTTTCAATTTTTAACAAAATAAAATATCACATAAAATTAAAGATATTTTTTGGCATATCATAATGGAGTCAATTGGTTTGACAAAACAACAGAGACACTTCAACATAGAATATGACCACACAAGAACAATTAATTTAGTGTGGTTTGGACAATTTTAAGTAAACATTAACATAATTTCTTTTCTATGCATTTTGAATATAAAAGATTAAATAAAGAAAAATAACAATAAATGGCTAGTTTCTTAAGGAAATTACAATTCAACTTAGTCACATGAATGTAATAAGTGGATAAACATGAATGAACATTGTAGGGTTAGCTTACCGAGGAGACCTGAACCTGTGTGGGCTTTAATAGGCCTTACAGCTGGCCTACTGAAGGACAGGCTTACATTTTATGCTGGCCTAAACGTGGTGAAGTGGCACAAACATGTGTTGATGATGGAATATCAAATATTAATTTAGAAATTGCAGCAAAGATTACATAGAAAACTTGCAGTACCAGGGTCTGCTTGCAATAATGCAGAAAACCTGTATATAAACATCAAAAGGTTTCTGTTCCAGTTGTGGATCTCGCCACACTGCTTTGATATTAATTGTGAGCTATGAAATATTATGTCAATCATATTATAAATGTAACCATCCGAAGCCCACTGGTGGCAAGGTGGCAGAGACTGTTCTGGTACATGTTTAAGCCCGGTCCTGATTATCAAATTTTCTTTGACCAAAAACTGTTGTATGCCCATATATAGTCATGATTTGCCTATATATGGTCATGATGTGATGTCATCATGACCATATTTAGGCATATCACATATTTGTGTCAAATCAAATTTGATAGTCTGGACAGGCCATTAGACATACTGATTATACACATGGCTATAGCATTGACTCTTCCTATAGTAACTATGGTAAACTAAAAAAAGTCCTCATGGTAAGTGACCGTGAAAATGAAGTTTCAAGTGATATTCCTATCAATTTGTTGTTATGATAAAAGCTCTCATGAGAGCTTGGGTCGTATAACTAATTAATTTATTCTTAATTCTGAGATTGAAAAATAAATCAGATATAAACATATATATTTGTAGCACCAAAACGTTGAACAATCAGTGACCAAACAATTAAATAATATTATTTCAAATTTCATTTATGTTAAGCTAATAATACTACACTTGAAGTTAAATGAAGTTATTTGATCAATTATAATAATTACTTTATTTCCACACAAATTGACAAAAATTACAATAGAGTTGCAGAAACAAAATAGTATTTGATCACAAAATGTTTACATTCAACTACTAACCAGCAATAAAAGAACAATATATAAAAAAAGATTTCTTTAATTTGTTATAATCAAGTGTGAATACATTTGTTTATAGATTTTCTGGAAATATTAATACTGTATAAACATTTTTAACGTAAATTTCTTCATATTTTAATTATGTGTACCATCTTGACCTTTGAACTTCAGATCAGCTGACTGTCATTGTCATCATCCTTTTCATTGCGATTAGAACCTAAAGAGCTTTGTACACTCGTATCACTTTTGCTATCTGTAGATTAAATAGAAAAAGATATAAATTAATATTTTTAAAAAACTGCTTTATGTATGGCTCATTTTCACTAATTATATCTACTCTCAGATATTTTGAATTTTTGTTATTTTTACGAATTTCAACAACCATACTATATAATTAACTACATAAAAAAAAAAATTGGTAAACTCCAAAAATTAATTTAAATTTTGAATTGCACATTAGAAGATTACATTTTCTTTCCACAAGTATTTGGTAACATACTGAGTATTTTCGGTACAATAATACGTCAGGTAGGCCAAAACATCACTCTTATGATATTTCCTGATGCAAACTCACATCATAATAGCATTTGCAGTACACGCTGCTAATTGGGGATTGGATTCAACACTAGTCACTCTGCGCATGCTCGGTAGTCTAGTGGTTATGGCACCAAGCTAGTTATCTGGAGGTCGTGGGTTCGATTCCCACCTGAATCAATCGCAAATTCTTTTTTCACAAGTATTTGGGAACGTACTGAGTATTCGGTACGATAATACGTCGCATATGTACTTAAATTAATTTAGTTTTTGCTGATTTTTTAAAATAAAAATCCTTCAACTGATTACCAATCAATATCAAGAGTATATGCAAAGAATACTGAAAGAGAATTATTTTTAGTCTTTTTAACAGAGTGCCTGAGAAGGATATTTTCTTGTTAATATCCTAATTAACACACAGAGCAAGTTAATTTCCTCAACACAAGTACAGTAATACAGTTAACCCTCCAATTCAAGACAATATGTAATTTTTACTGAATGTGACTCTGAATCAATTAAATATTAAAGCCATTTAAATTCTGTCAGTTTCCATGGAATTCATGGTTGCCCATGGCACTGCCCATTATGATCTCACTGGGAAAACCGGCTTTCTTGTCAGAGAAATTAGCCTTCTTGTCAGGGACATCGGCACCCTCGTCCGGAACATCAGAACCCCTACAAGCAATCCTGGTACCACCACTGACTTATAGTATAATTAGAGGAGTCTCAGAATTAAAGGGGTCTTGAGATTGGAGTTAAACTTTATATCTTTGTATACTGTGTTTAAATTGCATACTAGTATCAACCATGAAGAAAGTTTGCCTACCTTTTTTAGTAGGCGATTGTGGCTTTTCATTTGATGTCCTGTCTGAGTTGAATTTCTTGGTTTTTGATAATACACCAGAAGCACCATCGGTGTGAGCACCTTCTGTGGTGTTGTTTCTAGATGATGAGGGCGCTTTACAAACTGGAACGACAGGACTGGCAGTGGTACAGCTATCTACGGAGGATGTCTTCAGTAATGTTGCTAAAAAGTTGCTATAATTTGATTTCGAGAAACCCACTATAGTTTATGAGAAAAGAACAAGGCAATAAATAGTGACAACATTCAGAGTGAGTTGGTGCAGCAGAGTATAAGTGGGTACCTGAAAGGTTTAAACACAAACAGTACTGATTACAGCTACACCACCATGAAATTCTCCCCAGGGAACTGAGTATGTGTTCTAAATGTAAAGGTAAAGGTAGGAGAATAACCCATAACTTGCAGCATCATTGTGCTGAATTGCTTATGGGCGTGGTCCGTGACTACCTAGCAGCCGTAAAGAGGCGCTTCTTGGTAGATACATGTTCACATCATAACGACAGGGGCTGAAATGAACCATACATCGGGGTAACCCCCTACTCTTCCGAAAGATGCAATGGGTTCTTTAAAGTGCACACGAGCCAGATGTATACACTGGACCTCCATTTTAAGTCCTTATCCGAGAAGACTTGGTTTTACCAACAGAACCATGGGCGAGGAGCGGCTGGAACCAGCGCCGATGTTAAGGATGTAGCTAGCGGCGCCCCTGCCTTACCGCTCGGTCACTCAACTCGCCTTATAATGTGCTTGATCCAATGACGGGAGGGTGGGGTGGGGAGTTAATAATGTGAAGTGCTTCCAATTTATCTTACCTGGTTTTGATGAGCGGCCTGAGCTGGATGGACTTATAGCAGAATTCTCTCTAGTGAAGGAAAAAAAGTCGTAAATAATATTTAATATAAAATAATGAGCCACTTTTAATATAAAACAACAACCTATAATGAAAACAATAATAGGAAGAGAAGTTCCATTGGATATGAAAGAAAACAAGAGAAAGACCAAGGGATTAAAAGATATGTTTCCACATTAACAAATAAGCACAGACCACTCCTTCAACAATTAAGACCAATTTACATAGAGTGAAACAGCAGCATGTGACAGTGAAGAAGAAATAGAACCTATTATGTTCTTTATGGTGAATGGTGATCCACACTGAACGCAATGTGACTAAAAAGATGTGTCGCTCAGCTTAGAATAATTTTCTATTTCCAAAAAAACTGTCGCGTTAACAAAAACTATTCTGACCAATCACTGACTCTTGTCATTCTTGTGTCTTGGATATGTGCACTTTATAAATCTTAACAATATTATTATTATTATTATTATTATTATCGCAGAACAAGGCACGACTGTTGCTTGGTCAAGGCTGTTGTTGTGCAGTGTGTAAATGGGTTGCACTACGTGACAAAGTATTGCTGTCACGTGCTGCTTACTATGTGTAAATAATGATCTTAAATATTTTGAATAATCTTACCTGCTTCTTTCCAGCAGTCTCCTAGTGTTGCTAATAGAGTCTAGGGTTTCAAGATCCGATAGTGGAAATTCTTCAAGTGAGGTGTTTGCCATGGAAGTATCAAGATCTCCAATTTCATCCTTATGATCTTTTACATCAACTTTATTTTCAGCTATGAAATTAAGAAATACAAAAATGATAGCATATACTCCTAGTTCTTAATTAATTTCTTTAAAGGCCAAAATATTTTTTCGAGTTGAGCTCACAGGCCAAATATAATATCTGAGTAATGAAACAACTCGTTATAATGTTTTTGGTAATTTCAAATTCTACTTTTTGTTGTGATTCACAACAAGAAAATGTTAAAACAATAAGAAATTCCATCAGTGTATAACAAATGTAAGTAATATAAACATTTAAAAAAATATATATTATGTTTACTAATTCATATAATGGTAGGTTAACATAATATTAATACTGATAGTTGAACAAGCTAATTAACCAACAACTGCAACAGAGAATTTGAAATATATGTAGGCGTAATAATCGTAGAAGAGAAGCACTGAGCGCACAAGTACTGTAGAAGAGCAGATGTCATACTATAATAATAAAATTATCACGTCCTTCCTTCTGTCGCTCCTTACCAGAAATAACATTGCCGCTCCTTGCCGGAGTATTACTTGATGCAGGCAAATATGAGTATACATAGAATGACTAGGAAATAGGTGTGATATTCAAGGGCTAAAACAGCAAGTATGTTATAAAGGAATTTCCTGTTTTCTTTCCTCTATTTTTTATTTAAACCAGGATGTAAACATTTTGAAATAACATTTCTACAATGTGTCTTTAGCCTCATTAGTACTATTGCGAATGCATCAAGAGTCAATCAGTCAATTTGTTTGGATAGCGCTTTTGTATCATCGACACACCTTTATGGTGTAACCTTACAACCACTATACAATAATTGATTTATATACTGAAAACAAAAAAGCAAAAAATAAAACAAATATGTTCTGCATTACTTATAAACTATAATGTACATAAACTGGTAAAAAACATCAGTGGGAAATTTTTATTGTAGTTATACTTTTATCTCTGCATAAATGGGTTTTAATGTACAGCGCTTTTATCTCTTTTTGTAAAGGTGCTACATAAATGCTTTTTAATAATATTAATAATAATAATAAATAAATACTGGGAGAAGATACGAGGGGGGAAATAACTAGGAGGAAAAAACGACATAAATTATACGATCCAAATATATTGGATATATATTTCTATATTATATTACATCTAGGCCTATGTCACCCTGAAGACAGAAGCTTGTTAATATTAGTTAAAGGTATGTAAATCCAATTCTATAGCTGATTTTCTTTTGTAAGACTTTACAGCACGCAATAAAGAAGGCAGTGACTGCTGCTGCTGCAAAACAAAACATTAAAAAAGGTTCAATGATAAACCAGGAATTGGACCAGGATGACCACCTAGCACACATTTACAATTAACTAATAACATTCCTATCCCAATGTTCTGGGGAAGGGAAAGGGGTGGTAGAAAGTGGTAGTAGAAAATTTTTACAAAGAAACTAAAGATCACCATGCAAAAAAAGAAACCACCCAATTATGAAATTTAAAAAAAATAAACATTACTTGAATGTTTTGATTTCTTTTCCCGGGGACTCTTTCGGTCGGTGTGGCTCTTTTTCTTGCCTGTTGTAGGTTCTCCTGCCATGTTTAGTCCAGCTAAACTTGCAAACTCCTCTGTGAGAGACTTCAGTATACCTGATGAAAATAAACAGATAACAAAAGTGGCATCACTTGCTTTGGTAATCCAAATGTTTATTATTTTTAGCAGTTCCTGGTATTCAAAGAGCACTTCTTACACACTCCTTTACCAACATTAGTCTGAGTGCCACAAACATCAATATTTACTACCTCTTCAACTAGATCAGTCTTACTGCCACAAGAAACTTACAACCTCCTTACTTCGGTCGGTCTATTTTTTTGTTTTTTTTTTCTTTTAGAATCCGAATTTATATGGCACATTTCACATTCCACAGAATATACAAAGGCACTGGCATCTGTAGTTCCCTGGTCACTGGATACTTAGTTGATAAAATTTCTCTGCTTCCTGGGGAGTATCCCTAGTCATGCTTCTTCACACGCGCAACCGCATACGTCCAATGCCACACTATCTTACCAGGTACTCATTTATACTCAGGGATGGAGAGGGCAAACATAAGTAAAGTGCCTTGCCAAGGACACAAGCAATGCGACGAGTGTCAATCTCGAATTCCCAATCTCACAATCAGAAGTCCAACACCTTACATGCTGCACCACACACTTGGAACATCCATACTTTGGTCAGTCTCAGTGCCACAAGCAACTTAAAACTTCCTTACTTCGGTCAGTCTCAGTGCCACAAGCAAATTACAACCTCCTTACTTTGGTCAGTCTCAGTGCAACAAGCAACACTGACCAGTCTCAATGACACAGGCAACACTTCTTATAAGTTTCAGAGTCACTTCTTTAAACTTCCTTACACAGACCAGTCTCAGTGCCACAAGCAAAACATCCCACAACCATCTTACCTAAATCATTCTGTGCCACAAGCACCAATTCTTACAAGCTCATTACCTTATTATTCTCACTGCCAAAAAGCAACACTTCTTACAATCTCTGAAAAAAGGTCCACTGATTAATCTCAGATAAGAAAGTATAATACATACTCCAAGTATTGAAATGCACGCCATCGTGTTGGGATTCAATATTTCGACATTAATTATGTCATCATCATACAATCTCATTAGCCAGATCAGCCTCAGTGTCACAAATAACAATTTTAAGAACCATCTCACCCAAATCATTCTCTATGACACAAGCAACACTTTGTACAATGCTCCTCTACCTTTCTTAGTCTCAAAGCCATAAGAAACACTCCTCACTACCACCTTACCTAGATCAGTCTCAGATCGGCATGGACTACCCTCAGCAGCATCAGTGGATGTATTGAAGACAACACTTGATGTTGGTAGGTTAGATGTTAAATTGCAAGAAGATGTTGCCACTGCTCCTAATGAGTTCAACCCTGTAAACTGTGTCCATAAACGCTCCAGCATGGCGTCTGCTGATGCATTCTTCTTTCGATCTTTACACTTCTCCTTCAACACTAACAAATAGAAATAAATTTTGATGAATTCCACATTACTGTATCAATGTTTTGATAGTCTACGAGCAATATGACACATGGATATGCTGATAATTGGCAACTTTTTCTTAACAAGAATACCCAAACCCCCTCCCCCAAAATCATACACCCCTACACATCATACAAATTCACACAAGCCTTGTTAACATTCACATTAAAGGGAGCCCATGAATAACTTAAATACATAACACAACAGCCAAAAAGCTAATCATAAAATAGCTTTAAAAAGCCAAATATAATTAGTCAATATAACCTTAACTATCAACCAATAATTAAACATTTTTATATTGAACACTTTAATGGAATTTTGTATCAGTTTATGCATAATTTAAAGGTTTGAGTGAAAAGTGATGTTTTCCTCATAAACACAATGATGCCAAATTGAAATAATTATTCCAAGTGAATTTAAAATCTAATAACAAGAATTAGAAAAACCAGACAGACAAATGAATATACAGTAATCATACAACAAATATATACACATACAGTATCAGTTGAAATAAACATATTTATTTTCATGTTTAATTCAATGCCTAAATATAGCATTTCTATAAGTAAAGGGAAGAACTGAGATTGTCATACCTGATTTCAATTTATGAGGAGGGTGTGGCACTATATTTGAGCACCTGTCATCTTGGCCCCTTTCTGGCAAGTCCAGAAGCTGCATCAAAATACTGTTATCATCTTGACCTGCAAATGATTGATCGTTAAGCACCTGACGAAGTACTGATTGACCCCCAACAGCACCTCTCGGAGACAGCTCCCCCTCCTCCAGTTCCCAGTTAGATGAGTTTTCAACATCATTATCCCCAGACCTGTAATATATGAGGATATAAATGCAATTACTTGTACTCTCAAACCATAAGTATATGAAGCATACCAACCCTAACAAAGAAAGCTAATATAAACACAGAAGTAACCAAAGCAGAAGAATGTTAATGTACAATATCATTTGCCTGCGAATTAAGGGTGATGACAATGGAATATGCCTCAATACTTTTATAAAACTAGCAATAATAAGAAGAATAGCCTCTCAGTTTATGGCATAAAGCTTTGGAATGTCCTTTCATATGAACCTACCTTTTCTTCATGTTGTTTGCAAAAAACAGTGTATTTTCATAATCCCTGATTTCATTGTTATCTAAAACCTAGAAATACTGGGTTAGTGCCTGTTGAGGGATAGTTAAGATGTTATGTTTTTATTGTCTTTTAATTTCTTTTCAACTTGCTTTTTCCAATCATTTTATTAAGAATTGCATTACACGGTCTTGATGATTCAAGTGTCACTCTGTTAAAATAAAGTATATTATCATTATTATTAACATTAGGTAGCCTTTGCTACTCACATTGTCTCCACATCAATATCATTTTCCTCCATGGTGCTTTCCATGGGTTCCTCTTGTCCCGTATCTTCATCCGATGAGCAAGATGATGATGATGACCCGGAGGTATCACCCTCATCTTCAATTCTTTCAGTCTCCTGAAAATAAAGTCACCAAAGTCAAGTTTCCATTGCACTGTCAAGAAATGCATGAGCACACTTCAAGCATCCTACTAATCAAACTATTATTTTACGTATTCTTTTATTCAATTACTCACTATGCCAGAAACATCCTGTGCAGTTTGTCTTTGATCATTATCTTGGGAGTTATCACAGTCTGTAGTGATGGTTGCAATTTGAGCGTGATGGTTGCAATCCGATGTGATCGTTGCCATCTGAGCGTGAACTGAACTCAACGATCGTCTCAATGTCTGATTTGAATTCTCCTCTGTTTTGTCCGAAGTTGCTACAGAAGAAAATATTAATTATTAAATATTAAACAACATCCTACATGTGATGGTACACATGAAAATACTACGTTTTTTATGTATTATTTGCTATTAATAAAAAGTATATGCAATTGGAAACCATGTGAAAGGACATCATGTGACAAACACTCACCTGATGCTGAACACTGACCATGACCTGCGGATGACCTGGATAACTCAATAGCTAATCTCTGTTTGAATAGAAAATATCATATTAGATATAACCTTCAGAGAGAGAGAGCAACATAGTTCAAATGGTTTGGCTGAGGTCAGGTCTGGGCATGTTGCCCAAGAACAAATCAATACAAAATAATGTGAGTTGATGGTTGGTGATAAATCATGGAAATAGGCCTATATTAATAAATTAACCAACCTTGATTTTTAAATGCCAATAATTATTGAATTAATGCATGATTTAAATAACAATTTTTATAATGATAAAGATTTTGGCATTTGTATTTTTTCTCTTTATGAATGTTTTTTTATTGGCCAATGCATCTTGCTTTTAAAGTATTTGTACTTTTAATGTGAATTGTTGTTTTTAGCTTGTTAATATACCGGAATTTAGTTCTTATTACTACAATGTTATATTTGGCTATTTATTTTTTCCTTTGTATTGTTCAAATTGCATATTTGAATAAAATATACCATGAGAAAGGACCAATGCTATATTTTTGCCTTATTACACTACAAGCTGAATTAACTAACCTCTTTCAGATCATTAATTTGTTCCACATATTGTTGTTGCATGGATTTCAATTGCCCAATATACCACTGTTGATCTCGACATTTCTGATAAAATGTTGGAGCTCGTACCTAAGTAGACAAACAGGTACAGTTAGATTAACATATCAAACAAAACATAAAATAAACACTGCTGAGTTTTATATTTGTATTTCAAAAAGAAAGAATAACATTATCTAATATCTAGAACAAATGTGCAAGTGATGAAACAAAGATATCTCCTCTCCTTGCAGATTTTAAATGGTTTTCATATTAAGCTTATTAAAACCTAGTTAGACAATTTGGAACTCTTGATTGGTCACATTATTTTGCTATATCTTAGAACGATGGTGGTTGTACTTTCAGTGGGTAAATGGCTTACACACTCAGATTCATCCCATATGGAAATAGTGAGTAATAACAAAATCATATAAAAAGTACAACTGGTTATTTTTATACTTCTTTTATAAATAAAGAGTAACTTTAAAACAAAAGTGACAAAACAAACTTATTTGGTCACTTGATTAAGTACTGTAATTCAAATTATCCACTTTAAATAACTAGAAAATTGGGGGCTTGGGGACCTAGTGATGAATTGGGCAATACAACAGGCAATAATCCCCTGCTTTTTTAGTTTACACATTATTGAAAAATGCACACGGATCATGTTGTACACAGGACAAATGGCCTGAATGCATTTTACAAATAGGGCGCTATAACCTGTATTTTACAGAAAGAAATTAGTTTGATGGATTAGAATCAGGGACTCAGAGATCTCCACGGTTCAGTGCACATATTATAGTGGTTACCACCAGTTTTATCTTATATTATATGCTTAGGCCTGTAACATGCTGCTCTGCAACACTCATCAGAGCTATTGACCAGGTAATCAAATCTTGGTGTTTGCATTCTACACATATAAAAATAGTATTCTACATAATTGCACGAATTATATTCAGGCTCATACTGTCAATGTAGATTGTCACATAAACATATACTGTATTTACCTGGAACTGAAGAATCAGAGTGTCATCCTTAAGGTAGCCTTCGTTGGCTAGTAAGTCCAGTCGGAAGAAGCGGTTGTATCCCCAACATTCGCCAACCTCAAAGTCAGAGGCAAACTCGCGCACAATGTTCTTGCTATCATCATGAGAAGCCTGGTGTATCATCTCCACACGGTACTCATATCTAAGTACATGAATTGAAATAATAAAAGCAGCTATACTTTTTGCAGGAGGATACCCTCCTCCTCCTACCAATTTTTTTGCGACATTGGTATTACAATATTCACATATTTTCCATTTTTTACTACCACTAAATGCAAGCATATCTACAAAATAATCACATTTATTTAATTAAAAATAAAAACCATGTTGTCTTTTTTGATAATCTTTCTTAATACTGCTGTGTTCTCAAGTGACATATGGAGCAGTAAGATAAAGTTACAAACAACTATTTCCCATTTAAGCTGGGCACGCGTTACATCGTATGGCGGTCATGATGAACCCAACTTCCTTCCCAGTGCATGGCTTAAAACACTCTAGCTCAGTTAGCTGGTCTTCGGAAGAGTACTCCAATGCCACAATTCCCACAGTAGCCTATATTGTCTTTACTCCATTTATATCCTTATAAACTTACTACATGAACAATTCTTACTTGGAAGTTTCTGGTAGACCAGCTGACAGTTCTAGAAATACTGATAAATAATTGCCCCTCACCACACCATTACCATCCTGAAAGAATTGAATGAAAGTTTTGACCAAGGGTATATTCAACATAATAGAAAGAGGGAAGGCAATAGAGTAGAGAGTGAGATGACATATACCAATACTGAGGTAAAATCAACTTGTTATGAAATGGTTAGAACCCAGCCAACTTGGCATAGAGCATGGTAGAGCTATGGCCCAACATTGACTTAAAAAAAGCTCATAAAAACCGAAGTAACAATTGGTTAATACAGTATATTATTCTGCACAGGAAATAAAACAACAAAAAAATAAATGAACACCAAATAAGAATAATATAGTGAATCATGTCTGGGAGTGGCAAACAAACATAGATAAGAATCCTGTGAACATCAATCAAAGATGCAAACACTTTAAAACACAGAAATAAAAATGTGGCAAAGACAAGCCAAACCAGTCACTCATCGCAAAAATCGATTTTGAGTTATTAATACAGTGTTAGAGAGTAAAATAATAGCTATAAAATGGTAAAATAATCATTCAAATCGGATATTTCCTTATGAAGTTACAAGCATTTAACCACACAGCTGTTTAAAGAACAATATATGAGAAATTAGCCATCAAAGTTTATGATTTCAGGCATTTCTCATGCAGAAACTACCTTTAAATCCTTCAAAAGTATTGTTTTAACATTGAAAATGGGGAAAATAACAGCATAGAATGATGTGTAGATATATAAAGGTTAGTTTAGTGCAATAAAATAGATTTTTAAAAATTTGACATTCCAGCATGTTTTGGCCATTTTCTCTGAAACACGATTTGCGACGAGTGACTGGTTTGGCTTGTCTTTGCCACAAATAGAAGTAAAAGCGTGGCGACAATTATACTGTACACAATTATTTTTAATTATTAAATATCACCATGTTATGACGTACTGGGTAAACTTTAAGTCTCCAACTTAAGCCACACACATTCAATGCTGCACTGTACACTGGATCTGCTTTATGTTGAAGTCCTCTGAAATAATTGACATTTATAAACATTTTCACTACTAAAGCATTAAAATTCAGTAAAAACATGTAGATAACACATTAATTATTTAATAATATAATAGCCAAAATACTGAAATTTATAATTATGTATAGTTTATGTTGATGTTAATATCCCTTTAGATTTGTAGAAACAAAAGAATGATTACATAATTATATTTAGAAGAATTAAGCTTCATAATATAAAACATAAGGATACATTGTATACTTTAGTGATAAAACTGAGAGGAAAACTTACACAAATCCTGTTAATACAAATTTACTACTGTCATATGCTGGCACTAATTCACTGAAAGGAAGACAAATATAATATTTATACCAAATACAACTAAATTGTTATATTTTACCTTTTTCAAAAATATTTATACATACAATTATATATTTATAAAAACTACAAAAAAAATATATAAAATACATAACAATATTTTAATCATATTTATTGTACTATTGTATTTCTTATATTTTAACAATAATATAGAGGGTATACAATTATTGTATTGCCATCAACACATTGTATATCTACAACATTTATTTATACTTTGGAACACGGAAAAACAAAGTTGCTTTCTTAACACAATGGTCGGCATGAAATTCAAACTGCTGATAAGTTGAGAGGCTGAAATGCATCCGCTGTGGTCATCGCTTTCACAATAAGCCTGGATTCCATGAAAATTCTACACACCATATGCGAACTGTCAACAATGCTGATTGGTTGGCTGAATCAGAGAGCCTTTCTGACTTTGTCTGGGATGGCTACCCAGTGTAGGAATTGCAGTGAAAACACTGTAGTGACAGTGTAACTATTTCATGGCAACCCAAACTTTAGCTGTCATGGATCTAATGCACTGTGATCACTAATATTTTCTTAAGGGTCGTGAAAATTGGAAGCAGAAACTGAATTTAATGTTGCATTATACCTGGTGAAGTCTGCAGCTACAGGCGCAGTCACAAAAGATGCCATGGGTTTCCTGTGTACCTGTGTGAACATCTGTAAGAGCTCTCCACTCTTGCTGATCAGCTCACTCCTAGTGCAGAGCCGCAGCTGGTGTTCCACCTCTTGCAGTAAAGATTCCAGTAGCTCTGTTTCCTGAGTCAAAGAGTTCTTTTGTCCTGAATGAGACATAATTTTTTAACTCAATGAGAATGTATTATATGAGAACTTTTAAAAGTTTACGCATTTTGTAAGGTGATGATAGTAATAAGTCTCAACAAGAGGTAACTACAGCAAGCCTCCTCCTGACTTCCAGAGGACATTAAAAGCAGTGCAAGATAGTCCAACTATGAAAGAGAAACCATTATCTATCTCCCTGTCACCCCTAGAGAAAAAACCAAAACCTTAAATGTGGCAGCACTTGTTAGATGCCCACTGACAGGCATCAATCATTGCTTCTTGGAAATCCCATTTTTAAGGAGAAATACAGTTAAGAAAGTTATCAGGTTATACTTACCCATTAATGTTATCAATTTTGATTTTAGTTGTGTTTCTAATCTAGCTATCATCATTTCCACAGCGTTCCGAATCTCACGGACCCGTTCATCTTTAGCACTGCGAACACTTTCCACATTTCGTTCCTGGAAAGTACAATGAATGATTTATAAAACAATGAAGATAAGCACACTATGACATATCTTGTATTAATATTACTAATTAAAATGAATTTTTACCCTACACAACACTGTCAAGGTGCCTTAGATCTGTGGGAAATATCTTAATTTGATCATGTGATCTCATCATCAGTGCTTCTTATAAGCTTCAAAATAAGTCTACTAAAGATAGTTCATTTTTTGTACAGTGAATTATCTACAACAATAAAATATATGAATACAATTTCCGTAGTTTCATAATCATCATCCTTAGTAGGGGAAAGCGGTTTGGCTCAGCATTTTCCAATAAGATTCTGAACCTTGTGGTCAAGAGTTTGAACTTCTTTGACGATTCTCAGCCAGCCATGCTTGGATAACCCTGGCTTGCACTGTTGATGGGATGTGAAGTGGTTTGTGCGATGTTCCATCACTAGGTGCGAGTATTTAAGGGCTTATAAACTCAAATAAAAATACATTAAATTATGTATATGCAGGGATCAACAGTTGGAAGAAGTCATTTCCGGAAGATCTGCAGTGCCAGGTCGAAGGAAAAAGGGGCAAGAAGGGACTTTAAAAAATGTAGGGCTGCTTTTCATAATATACCGTACCATAATGATAGTAACTTCAGGTGATCCAAAACTAGATATACACAAAAAGATAAAAGGTGAAGGTCCCCACAAGATGTCACCCCACAACTAGATACTATGTCTGTTGACGTCTCATACAGGCAGTACCACCATCATCTTATTTAGTACCTCCAAATTACACCCAATAATATTGTTTACAGAAATATACAAGAATAATGTTAGCTCGAATCAGAACATTGAAATACAATTGATATCAATGTTAGAGGGTGTTATGGACTGGTATGATATTATATTAAAAGAGAAAACAGCACTAAACTCACAACTTCTTGCACTAGGCTGATGAGTTCCATTAAGCGGCGTCTGAGGGCAGCAACCTCCTCAGTGATCTGGGACACGTGCTGCTCGTAGACTTCCTCTAGAGGTTTAAATGTGTGCCCAGAATGCTGTAATGTTGCAACAAAATATTAACAAATGACACATTACATACCTCAAGTTTTTTTTGTATTGCTTTCTAATTAAAACACATAAAAGGTGGGTTGGGTCAAGACTATTGATACACTTTAACATGCAAGTTAATAGAACCTATAAACAATATATTTTTTTACAAATTAACATCATAATCATCAACTTGTTTGTTAATATCTTGAAATGGTGTGCTGTTTCTTTTAACTTACTGTTCCTCCCCAAAGGGCACATTGGTGACAGATGCAAGCTCGGCATGTCCAGCAATATACACTTTTCTTTTCTTTGTGAAGATCGCACCTAAAAAGATAACAGAAAAAGTCTTGAATAATAGTTAAAAATCAAGGAAAGTTTGTGACTTACCATGATGACTAATTTAGTTGTGAAGAGCTGCTGTTTGAATAGATAACTACACAAATCAGCAATGACTATGGTACTTTATGAGTGAGATACCATAAAACTAGATAAACTGACTATTGCCATTGTTTTTTTTAAAAAAGAACACACCTAAGAAATAATTATATATTTTATCGCTTTCATCAGTATTTGATCAAGGAATTTGAAATATAGGGGGCTTAGGGAGGGACTTTCACAGATGGAAGATAGACCACCTTAGCCCCACCATGGGTAGGGCTGAGGCAATAAAATATATTATTATGGACATTTAGATGGATGGAAATTGCGCTCTCACCCAGACTTAAATTTTACTCAATTTGTTTTATAATTTTGAAAAATTTAGGGGGGGGGGGGTGGACTGGACTTCCTCAAATCTGCAACTGCTGATGGTCAATTTTGGCAAGTTCCTAATATTTCCAACAGCTTGGTGTCTTCTTGTTAGGCGTTATCTGTAACTAGTTTACTGATATCAAATTCTGATTAAACTATAACACAATACTCCATTTCTCGTCTTTAGCAAACTATGGGTTATTTTACATTCGGATTCCTAAATTTGCTTTATATTTAATAATAATGTTTATTAATATGCTTATTTTAAATAAATTCCCCAACTGGGGACAGAAGAAGAATATATTGCTATAGAATAAACTGTGTAATGGTAGTAGCAGTACGTACTAGTAAATTCACAAGGATCAACGTGTTAATTTTTGAACTCCATGTTTTCTTATCTGAAATCTATTCTATCTATTTTCCATAGGAAACCTTTCTGTTTAATAACAAACTTCTTAGTAACCACAGCCAGAACATTTCTATTTGAGTTATCTCCATAGATTTTATGTTCAAGTGTACAGTGGATTCTGACATAAGACTACAGGTAAAAATTGTGTATCAACTAAATCAATATTTTCTATTTCATGGAAAGTAAACATAGCAGTAGGTTAATAACCAGGTATTATTATTTTTTTAACTTTTATGTTAGAGAAGATTGACCAAAATATAGCAACTTGTTAACATTATTTTATGTAATTTATACACACTTCATCATAGATTCATTGGTTACAAATGATTAGCTCAGCTAAATAGATTGCCTTCATTGTCTTTGATTAATTATGACAGACAGACACGAAAAAAAAATTAATCAATAGACGATTACATACTTATCTCTGTCTGGTTCAGCCTGACGTGTATGGGGCACGCAAAGCTGCAAAGTATCTAATTGATTTGTGACATCTTCAGCCCATCGACAATTAACAAGCTGGTGCATCTGTAGAGGAGCTCTGAGAGAACAAACAATTTGGAAAATTAATAATTTATTAAAAATTTAATATAATCACAGTTCTTATTGTATTTACAATACCATAAGTTACTTAACAAATACAAAAACATACAACATGCAAAAAAACATCAAATATTATTTAAAAATCTATGTTAAATGATCATAAAGCACACTTTCACCAGTCTACTGGATGGATGGATATATTTGGTGTAAACACCAATGATAACCCATCAAAGTCTGAAGAAGACTTATTTCCAGTGGGGTCCTTCTGGTGGTGATAGGGCAGTACACCGGGAGACAATCCCCTACTCTTTTCTAAAGAGTGTACTGCTTTCTTCAACGTGCATATGGGCCATAATACACACAGGACCAACGGCTTAAACATCTCATTCGAAAGACTTGCATATTATCAGCCCTCGATGCTGAAATACATGAACAAGAATAGGAATTGAACCGGGGACAAAGAGACACACACATTTACTACCACCAGTTTAGCTGACTGAGCTAAGCAGCCCTCTAGCCTTACTAGTCTTACTAGTGAGTAATGTAAACATTTAACTGACCTGCAGTGGGGGCATTGACGTTGCTCTGAGAGCCACCTCTGTCAAGACAAAAAAAAAATCAAATTTATATTACACAATGATGGCTACCAATGACAAAGCTTTTTGGAATGGTTGTGCATTTTCTTTTCTATTTATTTGTTTTTTCTTGCAGACATAGCATGCAAATCATATACTTATGTGACACATGGCACAAAGTGGGTAGTTGAGGTGAATCTGAGTCAACTCGGCCAAGTTGACTTGGAGCCGAGTTGACTGGGGCGATCTGACTTGGGACCGAGTTGACCTGCTTCCGTTGAGGTGACATTAATTCAAGAATGAAGAAAGAATAACAATAAAACATATGTCCAACAGTAGGCTAGCAGTTGAGTAAAAATCACAAAGGGAATTTGTGTTTGTTTTAAACAAGGAAGTTGAATAACTTACCCTGATACAGATGAAACAACAAAGCTTGGAGCATTGCGGACATAGCCGAGCGTCTCTCAATTTTTCCATACATATGAAACATCTGAACACCTCTGACAGGCTCTGAAAAGAAAAAAGAAATATATATTTCAAAGCATAAATGACTCGTTCAGACTATACTTTTTATTGATTAGTTTTATGTTATAGTGAATAATACCGAGGTCTCAATGCACTAAGAAATGAAAAGAAAAGATAGCTGTCGTTAGTATTGTTGATGTTTGATACTGAAATAAATAAGATAAATAAATATATGATCATTTTAATTACGATTCTTAATACTTTGTACGTTATATAAATATCGAACACAATAATGAATCAGAATGACAGTGGGCTGATAGTCCACATTAGGTTGACCCAATCATCTTGGCGTGGCCCTGATCGCACTGGTTGAGCCCAATCTTCTGGAAATGGGCCCAATCGTCCTGGAACCAGTCGTCTCTTGGGCCAGATTGTCTGTCCTCCTGTACCTTTATACAACGAGCAATTACATTATTTCCCTGAGGGTATGCTGCAGTTTCACCCACCCATACACAATCTGCTTATTTTTGGTATTCAGGCTCAGGGCGGAGGTATGCACTAGAGTGACTAGGCTAGAATGACTTTATTTATATAACATGTGGCCCATTAATTAATCCTAGAAAACTCAAGCAAAATCTACACCATTTCTGTGAAAAGTCAGACTTGAAATACAGTATTTCAATTTGAAATATATGCAGGGGTGGATTGCTATAAGCTCAGTCTTTACACAGTCGTGGTAACCGGCTATAATCATGATGTCACTACTGCCACTGGTCTATGATTAAAGACCACTGCTATACCGCGGTCTAACCAGTTAGCCGTCTTAAATTTTAAAGCCTACTCGGAAGAGGCTTAAAACGGTCTTAAATCATTTTCATCAATGTGGCGTTCTGCTGATTAATTCAGTGCAATGGCAAGACCTAGGCCAGATCGTCAAAGTCGGAGAATCGAACGACAAAAATATTCCAAACGCTTCTCGGCTTCTGTAAAAATAGGTCTACGTTTATTTACGTTCATTTCGATAAATTTGCATGTGTCGAGAATACGTCGCCCTCAATCTTACGTTACAGGTAGTGCTTGTTTGCGTTTCAATACTCAAAGCGGTCTTAGGAAAACTGTTTTATAGCAATGGTCTTAGAGAAATGTCATTAGTAAGATCATCTAAGTGATAAAGCCGGCTTTATTCGAGGAGTTAAGACTACCAGTTAAGACAGTTTTATAGCAATCCGCCCCTGGTCTTATAATATTAATGGCAATGGCAATTATTACACCAGTCTTTAAAAACAAATTAAATGTGATTGGATCTTTAAAATAGCCTATTATTGGATGAAAGACACTGGTGGTGTTACCTTATGTATTACATCTCTCTGGGGAACTACAGAATTTCAATATAAGGGGCCTACACTACTACCTACCACTGTCAATAGGCCTACATTAACAACTTCACTAGTAGTATGTAAGTGCAGATCATGCTTAGACTACATTCAGGTCTAGGTAACGAACACCCTAGGTAACTAGGCCTAGGCTAGCTGTACTCGAGGCCTAGGAAGTCTAGCTAGTCAACTCGTACTTACCTCCACTGTTTTATCTTCAACTCGATTTGACGTTGACATTTCAATTATAACAATAAAGCTAAACAAAAGGAGAATAAATCAGTCTCAGTTCTTGTTGCTGAGTATGTGTAACAACGTAATACTAATTATAGCTGAGTGGAAGTGTTACATGAGCAGGACATCAATTCACTGTGTATATTGGTGGTCAACCGAACTATTAAAAGAAAAACATAACAAAAAGGTTTAAAATAGAGGGCGGACTGCCAAAATTATCAATTATCATGCACAGGCGCCCCATTTAATCATGCCCGGTTTATCCGAATCATAAACTTCATTTTTTTAAATGACAATTATGAAAATCATATTTTTAATGACTTCTTTATTTCCTTATTTTTTACTATAAAATTCACGAAAATTATAAAATCTTAAAAATTACCAGCATTTTCAAACCAATGATTAATTTACACTGATTCCCCCAGTTGGCCTAAAAGTTCCAAGTAATAATTATTAGTTTATCACCCTATCTAGCGTGTGAAGGAGGAAGACCTTTTAATAATTTATTTTTTTAATATCACCCTTGGGTTGTTTGCTGGTGCATTGATATTCAAAGTAAAATACATGATTGAGATATGAACAATATCTTCTAGTACTTACTAAAAAAATAAAAGTGAAAACAATAAAAGTTTTTGATTTTTTTTTTCCCAAAATTTATTTTTTAATACTAAGACCATGACATGAGACCGAGGGTGATACACTAATTATTGTTTATTGGGCCTTATATCTACAAATACAATCTTATTGTTACTATCACTATTATTTTTTTATTTATTTATCATTACTAATATTATAATATTATATTATTGTTTGTATTATTATGATATAATATTTATTTGATATTTCACTTCTAAGTCAGTGGCATCACACAAGAAAGTAGCACAGTCTATATATTAAACTAAGAAAATTAGAAGAAAACAGCAACTTAAGCTAAAGAAACTTTAAAAAAGAAAATACAATTTTGAGTTCAAAATTAAACTGAAGAAATTTAAAAATATTGCATATGTACACATGATCGCCGGCAAATTTTGGCAATGCTGATTGGTCGGTCAAATCATGAGGCCTTCCTGATTGTGTTGGGGACAGCTACGCAGCACAACCATTGCAAGGAAAACGATGTAGCGAATTTATGAAAACCACTGTCCACACTATCAAATTTTCTTTGACAAAAAACTGTTGTATGTCCATATAAAATAATGATATGTCCATATATAGTCATGATGTGCCCATATATAGTCATGATGCTCTCTCTTATACACATCTAGATGTGTATAAGAGACAGACATTTATACACCCGTGCCAGTGGTGGCTCC